CCCTCTCTCTCTCTCTTCATCAACCTACCCCTCGTCATCCTCGTCTTCTTCTTCGTCTCCTTCTCCTTTCGTTCCTCCTCCTCCTTCTGTCCTCCTCTGCATCCTCCTCCTCCTCCTGCTCATCATCATTCTTCTCCGTCTTCTGTCCTCCTCCTCATCGTCATTAGCATGATTACGATGATGATGTCCTCATCATCACCATTCTCATCACCGTACTCATCATCCTCACCCTCGTCTACTTCTCCGTTTCCTTCTCCTTCTCCTTTTCTTCCTCCTTCCTGTCCTCCTCCTCCTCCTCATCATCATTATCCTCTTCCTCCTCGCCATCACCATCCTCATCACCATGGTGACGATGTCGATGTCCTCATCACCACCATGCTCGTCATGATGGCAACCTCATCATTATCCTCATCCTAATCATTATCAATCGCTTTTTTGGGTCTTTTTTTTTTCACTTTCTGCCTTTTAGAATTGCAGTGCAAGTAATTTGGTTCCGGTAATCCGGTAATCATATTTCGGTTGTACAGTAATTTGGTTCCGGTAGTCCGTTGCCCCTACCGTCTTCACCTGAACAGAACGCGTCATTATCTCCGTATCTAGGCCAAAAATTGACCCAAATACGGCGGTAATGACCGGGCGTTCTATTCGGGTGAAGACGGTAGACTGTTCTGTAGATGACGTATTTGCCTTTCTATCCTATTTTTCCAGCATGCCGTCTCACGGGCAATTTCGATCGATGGGCTTCCATTCAATTCAGTCCAATCCCAATCGAAGCCTAGCCAACGTTTCCCTCCCATTGCAAGCAATGTGCCAGCTTTAGGGGCATCCACCTCACCCAATTACGGTGAACATAATTGGCACTATCCTACCCAATTACGGTGAGCATAAATGGCACCAAGTCACCCAATTACGGCGAGCATAATTGCGACCGATTCGCCCAATTACGGCGAGCATAATTGGGACCGATTCGCCCAATTACGGTGAGCATAATTGGGACCGATTGGCCGAATCACGGTGAGCATAATTGGGACCGATTTGCCCAATCACGGTGAGCATAATTGGGACCGCGGTACCCACCCAGTTATGGCACTAAGACCAGGTCGACCCAAATGGGGGACCAAATTGACTCGCTGGAGACCGCACGAGAGTGGGAAAGGTTTGAGCTATGGTGCGGTCCTTGAAAGTTTTTTGATGGGTCCACATTCGAAATGTATTTTTGTAGTGAAGCTGATGAATCCTCAGTGCGTGAAGGTAAAGTGAGAGAAGCGTGGAGTTGAGCCCAGTTGGGCCCAGATTTGTTCCGCTGCGTGGAGTTGGGCCCAGTTTTGCTCCGCTGCGTGGAGTTTTGGGCCCAGTTGGGCCCAGTACATCGGGAA